TTGTAGTTTAGCACCAGACTGCAAAGTTAATTGTGGGCACTAATGAATAAACAGCATTCAGGATAATAGAATGCAAACACTTGTGGCTTATGTTATCATGTTACTATTTTATTTAATACATTTCAGACATTAGGGCTGGAAGGGACCTCGTAAGGTCATCGGGTCCAGCCCCCTGCCCAAAGGGCAGGAAGTCAGCTAGGGTCAAAGGATTCCAGCAAGATAAGCATCCAAATGTTTCTTAAAAGTGCTCAGAGTAGGTGCTTGCACCACTTCTAGGGGAAGTCTGTTCTAGGACTTGGGGGCTCAGACAGTAAAGACGTTTTTCCTTATGTCTAGCCTAAAATGGTCTTGTGGGAGTCTGTGACTATTGGATCTTGTCATCCCTTGTGGTGCTCTGGTGAACAGGTGTTCCTCCAGATCCTGATGCACACCCCATATGCACTTATAGGCTGCCACCAAGTCACCCGTGAGCCTGCGCGTCTCCAGACTGAAGAGTCCCATGGCTCACAGCCTGTCTTCATAAGGCCTGTTCTCTTGCCCTCTGATCATGCACGTGGCTCTCCTTTGGACTCTCTCAAGCTTCTTCACATCCTTCCTGAATTGTGGAGCCCCAGAATTGGATGCAATACTCCAGCTGCAGTCTCCTCAAGGCCAAGTACAGTAGGAGGATGACATCCTCCTTGCTTGAGATGCATCAGTGCAAGCCAGAGTTTTGGTCGCTTTGCCAGCTGCAGTATCACATTGGTGGCTCATGTTCAACTTGTGGTCAGTCATGACCCCCAAGTCTCTTTCAGTCATGGTGTTAGCAAGTGTAGCATTGCTGAACCTGTAAGTGTGATATGGGATTTTATTCCTGAGGTGGAGCACCTTGCATTTCTCTGTATTGAATGCTATGAGTTTTTCATCCAGCCACCCTGCAAGACTATCAAGGTCAGCCTGTATCACCAGCCTATCCTCAAGTGCAGACACTCTTCCCTAAAGTTTGTTGTCAGCAAACTTACCCAGTCCACTTCTGGCACCAGTGTCCAGATTGTTTATGAAGACATTAAAGAGTACAGTTCTGAGAACGGAGCCTTGGGGGACACCACTAATCACCAAGTGACATGTAGATTTGGTTCCGTCAACTACCACTCTCTGGGTTCGACCTCGGAGCCAGTTCCCCAGCCATCGGACTGTGGAGTAGTCGAGGCTGCAATTGCCCAATTTTTCCATGAACACATCATGAGACACCAGTTCAAAGGCTTTTTTAAAATCCAAATATATGACATCAACCTCTTCCCTTTTTTCCAGCTGATACGTCACCTGGTCATAGAAGGAAATGAGATTGGTCAGGCAAGGCCTACCTGCAACAAACCCGTGCTGGCTATGCCTCGGAATGTTGCATTCTATTAGCCTGTCAAGAATGGTTTCTTTGATAATTTTTTCCAAAATCTTCCCCGGGTTTGAGGTCAAACTGATTAACCTGTGGTTTCCCAGGCCTTCTTTCCTCCCTTTCTTGAAGATGGGCACCACATTGGCCCTCTTCCAATCTTCAGGTACTTCCCCTGAGCACGAGTTCTCGCATATCCTTGCCAGTGGCTGCGCTATGATGTCTGCTAGTTCCTTTAGCACTCTTGGATGCAATTCATCCGGACCAGCTGATTTGTGGGGGTCCAGCCTCTCAAGATGTTCCCTCACAAGATCAACGGCCATGGTGGGCATATATTCACCCCTCACCCTGGTCATCCCGCATCATGTTTGGCAGGGTGGTCCCTTTGGGCTGGTGAAAAACAGATGCAAAGTAATCATTAAGCAGATTGGCTTTTTCCTGGGTGCCAGCAGTCAGCTGCCCCAGCTCGTTTAGCAGGAGTCCAAAGTTGCCCTTGTTTTTCTTTAGACTTCCCACACATCTAAAGGACTTTTTATTGTCCTTGATTCATATAGCCAGGTGGAGTTCAGTTGCAGCCTTGGCTTTCTTAGTTTGCTCCCTGCAGGTGAGGACCAGTGCACAATACTTGTCCTTATTAGTGTTTCCTGTCTTCCATCTTTTATAAGCCTCTCTTTTTAGACTTAGGAGGTCTATGAACTCCCTGTTGAGCCAAGGGGCTTGTTGAGCCCTTTTACCACCTTTCCTATGGGTCAGAATTGATTCCTTAAGGATCAACCACTCATCATGAACTCCCCTCCCTGTGAAATCATGGTCTCTCAGGGCCTCAAGAACAAGTCTCCTGAGCTTACAGAAGTCAGCTTCCTAACGTCAAGGACTACTGCATTGCTGGCTGACTTGCCAGCTTTGCAATGGATAGTGAAAGTGATCAACTTGTGGTCATTGTCACTCAGCTTTTTACCAGCAACTCAAGGGTTACCAGTAATACTGTTTATTCATTAGTTACTTACTGGTATCCCTCAACTTACTGGTAAAACTAATGAATAAAGGGTTACCAGTAAGTCGAGGGTTAAGATTGTACTTTTTAAATATCAGGAACAAAATGTTATTTCATATGCATGATCTGTCTACCAACAAAGCTTCATTTGCTCCAAGGCTTAGTAGCCTCATCTGTTAAGACACATCATCCTAGGCATATTCAACCACCAAGATGAGGTGATGAAAAATAGAGGCTGAGATCCATAGCCTCAGAACATTCAGAAATGTTTAAAATGGGGGCTGGCCTTGAATTGGAAACTACCTCATCAACGTACATCCCATGTTAATGGTATAATATGTTCTTCAGTCTTCCTTGCTAGTAGGTAATCTGCCATCAGTTTTCTCTGCTGGTTGTTTAGCATAATTACTATACAGCAGCTTTCGTCACCTCCATTTTTGACTTTTTCTGCATCTTTGAGTGGAAGATGGTCTTCTGAGCCTTCAGACAGGAAACGGTTTTTGGCCACTGCCAAAGGCATCTTTAGGATTCCGATGCAGAATTACCACGAGCACTGTAATATGAGACACATTTTCTTCATCCTGGGGCATTCTTAATAACCTTGTCCTATCTGCCACAGGAAAGGTTATCCATGTAGACCATCATCCTACATAGATAATGGAACCAAATTAGTTATGTTGACAATGCATCCTTAAATTACTTAATTCATGCTTTTAAAAATCTTAATCATTACACTGACTCATGACATTTTTTTTCGCATTATTTAAGAAAGGATGAATGGAAGAGCAAGTACTTGTTTGCCTGCGTTCCCAATAGGTATTGCAGCCAGATCTTTTCAGGGTTCCCAAGAGGATATGAGTGCAGTCATTCTGTCATTTGATGGTAGTAGTTATATGTAGGACAACTTAATTCAGAAATGTGACACAACAGAAAAATAGTTACTAACCACTTTTGAGCATTACATGTATTTCTGAAAAGGGAGGGGGAAATAAGAATGAAAACATGACTTCCCTAAGCATGAAAAATCTGCAATCCTTAAGTTTGTGATAAAGACAAAAATACCAGTAAATGTAGTCTGAGAACCCTAGTCTATGCCCATTTAAATTAGTAAGCAGCATACCATTCTGTACTTGTGTTTTACATTAACAATTTAAATGAAAAATAAAGCAGAATTATTGCACTATTTAAATTCTTAGTGTAATGTATATTTTTAAAAAGATGCAACATGTTTAGTTTGAAAATTTCTGTAAATTAGTGTATTTACGCTAAGATGCAGTACAAGAGATTTTTGCTCAACTATTTCTTTGAATCAGACCCTTAAAATAACTTATTAGAATTAAAAAGAACCATATTCCACTAGAAAAAGGCAGCTTCTTAATTTAGGATTTGTCGAACCATAATGAAACCAATTTATAGTGATTCTTACAATTATTATTTTAGTTATTATGGTAGCACCTTGAAGTCCCAGTTAAAAAAAAAAAAATAGGGCCCTATTATAATGGGTACTGTGCAAAGAAAAAGAAGGTCTTTGTCATGGAGGCCACATTTCTTTCATTAATTTAATGCTTTTATTTATTTAACTGATGAGTTCAAATCAAAACTACATTTCATATTCTGATACAAGAGTGTCATTGTATATACTTGTACTGATATACTGAAATATGTAGGAATTTATGGTATTTGGCAAAAAATTTTAAAGGAATTTATTGTATCATTGTTTCTTTTAAAGAAATGTTAATTATTAAAATGCATAGTTATCTATGCATTAGTATTGCTTTCTTGCCTGCAAAACTGTTTTTGTGACAGCATTTTGAACTTTTATAATGTCAAATGTCATTATGAAATTAAGGATAGGTTTCCATAATTGTAACCACTTTTAGATTGAACCTATCTAGACTCTAAAGAAATGTCCAGAAGAATCATACGTTCACTGCCAGTTATTAATTACTTGATTTCAAGAAGTTGTTTTGGGAAGGCTAACACCATGAAGCTTGTTTAACAAAACAAAACAAAAGACAAACCAACCAAACAAACACAATTTCCAGCTAAAAGACCCATTCTTGTCCTCTGAGTCCACTATATTGTCTAACTATTGACATTAGTCTCTCTCAAACAAGAATATCCTCTTTACTCCTGATTCTGCTATGAGATTTATAGGGGAATACCAATAAAACTTCATTGATACTGAAACTTTAGGTCATACAACTCCAATGGGTTAATATTACTACTGATATATATTCACATTTTGACTCTATCATATTTAGAAATGTCTTTATTTGGAAAACCCCCCAGTATAAACAAATTTGAAATGGTGAGATATCAAAAACCTCCTCTTTTTTCTTACACTGATGTTTGATGCTTTTCCAAAACTGTTACGTTACTACTGTAGTTAATGCTAACTACTAAATAAGTAAGTTGAATGATGTAAACCTAATTAGGAAATCATAAATGTACTACCACATTTTCTGTAAGCCATTAAAAAAATTACCTATTTTATTTACTGATTGTATTCAATTGACACATGCAGTTTGTTATGCATTTGGAATGTGAAACATGATGAAAGACAACTAATTATTTCTATTTTTTAACCACCAGATGTTATTACCATAAAGAGAAGAAACATCAAGAACCAAGAAAAGTGCCTTGGAAACCAACAGGGAAATAGAACTTAATACCTTTATAACATATTCCATTGTGAACAAGAGATTTATTTTTGCAGATTGACAGACTACTTCCCATAATTCTTTTAACATGTGTTTTCTATGTTGTCAACAGTGTGCAGATTCTTTATAGTAGTATAGCCACCAGTAGTACTTAATGATCCATACTTAAACACACTCCACATTTGATGTGTACTGCTGCCAAAAACTACACAAACACACACCCTTTACCAAGAAAATTAGTGTTTTATTGCTTAATTCTGAGACTTCAAGGAATGTTTGTATATTCAGAACTCTTACAGAATCTGCTTTACAGCAGTGGTTGTCACTTGATCTCTTTCATGCTTATGCAATTAAAGTTTGGTTAAAACAAACTTATGTTGGGGTCACATTGTACCCTGGGAGTACACATTGCATGACAAATACAAAAAGACAGTTCTGAGTAAACCCGGGTCCTTGGGACAGTGGAGCGTGGATTTTGTATACACATACAAACTACCATCAGTTTTCTTTACAATACATGTATAAAACATTCCAGCTGATGTGCAATATGTAAATACTGTAAATAACAAACATAAGTAATAAAGTGTTTGGTATTACATTGCCCTCAATGTGACTTTTTCAATAATGATTTCAACAAATTGGAAATTTAGATATGGTTACTCGTGATTAGAGCTGGGCATGGAATTCTTGCCATTTCACAAAGCTTTATGAGATTAAGGCTCTCCTACACTGGAGAAGTGATACTTTTCCTTGAACAGCCACAGCTTTGGCAGTTCAGGCAGTCACCGGGATGTGGGAGAATTGCAGACTTGGGACTGTTGGCTGCCTTGACATTAAGCTATTGGCTATTTAGTGTGGGTCACTCTCTGGAATTGTCCAGGACTTTATGCAGGATATACGAAACCTTTCCTGACGAAGATCTCATCAAAACTAGCATCTTCCCACAAAAGATATGGCTTCAGTAATAACAACAACAAACAACAACATTTGTCTGAACAGGACAGAAACGATTTCATAAAACTAACCATCTCAAATCACGATGTTTCAAAAATGAAATAAATTATATTAAAATCCAACAGTTTTACTAGAAATCTAACTTATGAAGAACTTCAATGGTGAGCAAATCTTGAGGTTTAGATAAGCATTTCATGTTTCTTTAGAAGTCCCATAGCCAAACCTGTTTGATTTTATAATGGAAAAAGACATCTTCCCACCCCCACTCACCCTCCACCAAAGGCACACTGTTAAGCATTTCTACTAAATGCACTCCAGAAATACACACACACTGAAATGAAAACCTGTCTTTGTTAAACATCTGTTTGATTCCAATCCTTCATGTCCATATAACATAAACCTCCAAATAGAGTACAACTAACTAAACCATAAAGGAGCCAAGGTGCTCAGCTTGAACGCTAAGATAACTTGCATCTAGCTCCCACAAGTTCTTTCAAGAAATGCCAGCTTTGGTTTTCATGGACATTAGTAAGAAATCCATGTTACATATGCCATTTATGGAAGATTGCTAGATGTTAACATTTCAACTATTGCTGGTATTTCCTAATATATTTAAGTAAAAACAAACAAACAAAAAAATCAAAAAAAAAATCAGAGAATGATGGACTTCTATAAACGTCACAATCTCACTGTGCTGTTAGCATATAGGCATGTACATGCACAAGTGTAGCCCACATTCTTTGCAAACAAACAAGCTTGTAACAAGGTAGGAGTTTATCCCCACATCTTAGTATTGGAGTTGGATATCTAAGTCATCAGTACTTTGGCTTAGATGAAAACTTGTGGATATACTGGTGAAAGACAATAGAGAAAGATTCAAATCAGCTTGGGCTGAACTTAAGGTTATCCTCTGAAGCCTGAAAACAATCAATCCATCCATCCCTCTTACAGCTTGCCTTCATGGACATGATTATTGGGAGGGGCAAAACAGAAAATATTTGCTTCTGGACCAAGGAGCATGTCTGTACTTCAGTCATTGAGGTGCAGATGGTGCGACTGCCATTTATACACAATATCTTATACTGGAAATAAAAGCCAGTTAAAAAAAATATAAAACTGACAAAAATTTAAAGGAAACCAAAACTGATAATTGAATAAGATAGAAACTTCTTTAAGACAAATATAGAAGCTGCTCTGTTATAGCATAGTTTCAATTGGTGCTGTATTATCACCTGTTATTCTAGATTGAAATTTGACTGGTTTGTGCAGAAACTTTTTAGAACAATCTGAGTTTTATAAATTTACCTGTTTTTCCAAGGACATGCATGACACAGAATTGAAGAGGATCTTTTTTCCCCCTCTATTTGTTAGGATTTCTCTCAGATACAGACAAAAATAGAAGAAATGAGTGTTAAAATTTTACTAAAGGAGTGGTATAACATGCCTACATGGGATTGGTTTGCTTGGTTTTTTTGTTTATTTTTATGACATACTGAACATTCATGACAGAGTGGTCTGCCTTCCATGTAATGACCTCATATGGATACAAACAAACATACAATAACCTCATAGGGCTAGATGGGTTGTCTTCAAACTGTGCTTTTAGTGCATAGATTTGAAATACCACCTACATGTCCATGTACATTTTCTGATTATATTGTTTGGCTATTAAAATAACAGGCATTAGTTATAGTACTTGGATTTGAGTACGTTGCTAAATTAAAGATTTGCTTTCAACTATATTTTTTTCTGCACTGTATTTCATTTTCCAGATAAAGGAGGGGGCGGGGAAATTACTCTATTACATTAAATGGTATATTTCTTCATGCTGAGATCTCACAAGCAAGTTCACTATGGATTTGCAGGAGGAGGAAGCCCCATCTCTACATAAAGACCTAATATTTCAGACCCAAACTTTACAGAACTTTTTACTCCAGTTAAGAACAGAACATTATCCCTTTCCAGTTCATTTTTTTTAAAATCAGCAAGCGATGAGTTGCCAAAGAAGAAATCTATTTCAGTATTTACAGTAAACTTATTAAGATACTGTTTGAAGATTTTGTCCAAATTTGAGTGGAAAAAAAGGTTAAGAAGAACCACAAGATATGCTACACCTGAGAAGACTAAGTTAAGATGAGGGACCTTTCCTTATAGGTCTCACACAATTTTAACAACTGAAAGGACAGATGAAGTGTAAGAATTAAAGAAATCAAACAAATTCAAAGATCTAAACTACATGCGATTAAGGATATGTAGTTCATGAAGATTTAAGAATACCGGTATATTTTTCCTCCCCTCTGCTTCTAGGACGTTCCAAACATAAAAAGTCATTATGGAAGGTGTATGGAGATTTCAAAGTAGAAGACTAAAATAGAACTGATCACCTTGGGAATGCAAAAGACCAGAAAGGAAGAAAATGCAACAAAGTAGGAGAATGGAATTTAGACAGGTGATCAGGCAGGCAATATCTGCCTTAAGGAAAGGAAAGCTTAGGTATGTGGAAAATACAGGAACTTAGTACCATTCTTATTAGTTCATATACTGGTGAGCTGATACTGGTTTTAGGATTGTAGAAATTCCCATAGCCATCCAACCTGGATGTGTTTCTAAGTCTAAGGACTTTACTGTACCTTATTACAACTGGGTTTAATTATGAGGTGCTACCTCTATCCATATGAGTTGGCATCCATAGCCTTTTTGTAGAATAAGTAACACTAAAAAAAGGTTTTATTTTTTTATTAGAAAGAAAAAAAAAAAACACTTGGTATTTACAGTTTAATACTTAAAATATATACTAAACTGGGTCAAAACCTCAGCAAGCTGCCGTTACCCAGTTTTTTTTTTAAATGTGAAAAATGTGCAAGAATGTAATTTTGCATTGCACAGAACGAAGCAAGACATTAATTTTATGGTGCTTGTGAGACAATAAATTCATAGATATTTATTCTGTTGTCTGCAAATGACTTAAACTACACCAAAGTCTAATAAAAAGGCTGATCCTTCAATTCCATTTTTAAAGTTTTATAAGTTTTTTCTAAATTAATTCACATTACAATACAAACTAAAATAAGGAAGCTGCAATTTGGAACTACTGCAGAGGCACAATATCACCATTTTAAATACATTAATTCAAGTGAAGCTTACATAATTCTTTAAAAAGAAAGATCTAAGTATCATTTTCTTTGGTGAGCATTAATGAGGCTTCTCCAAAAATGCTTTACAGCATCTAACACACTGCTCATAAACAGCCTCGAAGTCCTTTTCATTCCCCTAGGAAAAATATAAGAAAAAGAAAGTAAAAAAAAAAAAAAATCTAGCCACATAAATTTAAATTGTCAACTGCTACATTTAAAGCTGTGCTCACATTTAGCACATATATAAAAAAAGGTCTACATGTGCACAATACTTACATAATATGGATCTTCAATTATAAGCTGTTTCTGTGGATCATAGCTTCCAAGTAATTCAATTTTAGCTTTACAGTTTTTAACTTGATTACTTTTTCTTTTCAAATCTCTGTAAATAGAAATTTAAAACACTTTTACCTACAAATGATGACTTTTGCTCCATTTGATATCGGCTTCATTAGTTCAAGTACTCATTAGAAAGTTTATCACATGAATGAAAACAGAAAAGCGCAGCAAAAAATGCCAATGTACTTTAAAACATTGCTGTTAGCGCACTGTGTTGTTTCTTATATTAAGTGTTAAGGACATTACACGCACAATGAGTCTAAAAGAAAATGAAAATCATGCAACCAGGTGTTTGACTGAGTGTTAGTCACTAACAAGATTTCTAAATCTTTCATCATGAGTAACTCATCATTTTCAGTGTCTACTTTTAGCTTCTTTTTTTTTTATAATAAAAGTCTCGTGAACATGGTGAACAGCTGAAAGCGGCTTACTTGTACCTAACAAGTGCAAGACAACATGTTGCTTCAATGTGGGTTCTCTTAGGCTTTAATTCAGGACTGTTCAACTGGTGGCCCGTGGGCTCCTACTCTGCCAAGATTCCTTCTGTTCCTTTGGCTGTAACACAAGAGCTTAAGTTTTCAGACTTCCCACCCCACTCTTCCAGCTTCTGTGTCTACCTCAGAGAACTGTGTGGCACAGCATGGGCAGCTTTGTGTGAGGCCATACATGTGTGGCACATGGTGCTGTGGTGGGGGAGGAATGGGGGAACACATGAAGCAGTAAGTTGCAGGCACATGGTGTAACAGGGTGGTGCTCATGCAGTCTGAAGACTATGACCCCCCCACTGGTGTGGCTCAAGGGGTCCCCAGTAGTACAGCCTGTGGGGCATGCAGCCTGTAGCCACTTACAAGTTGGACAGCCCTGCTTTAATTTATTTTAAAAAGTTCTCCTGTTGAGTTTAAGTTACACCAATTGCCAAATGTTAAACAATTTTGGTGCCTGCACAATTTAGCACATACTTTTAACAGCCATTGAACATCAAAAAAAATTGTCAAAAAAACCCAACTCGCTCAGATTATTTGTGACAATAACTTTTCAGAGGCATACAGATCCCATAATTATCCATGTTCCATATTCCATTAGCCCACAGATTAAACTTCAGTTTCCTAGCACCTCTAAAGAGAGAGAGCTCAAATCTGTGTCTTTCGCTAGGTGAATTTACTTCAATGTAATGTAAATCTTAGTTGTAGATCTGAAGTCTTCTCAACATTTCTCAGTTTAAGATTATATAACTTTCTGACTAATCAGTAACAAATGATTTCTTTGAGACTAAGTTTTCAAATACTTACTGGTCACATTCTGCACTGATAGCTTCATGTTAACCTTGATCCTAGTGGATAGAGCAATAAACTGGCACTCAGGAGAGCTTTGGCAAGTTACCTCATTTCCCTGTGCCTTATTTTTCAGGCCCCCCGCTACCCCAGCATCTATAAAGTAGTGGTAATATTGTGCTCTGCTTTGAGACCTACAGCTTAACAATTTAATAGTTTGTAAAATGTCTTATATGGTGGTTTTCAAACTGTTCTGTGGAAGCCTGGGCTGGGGATAATGGAGGAATGAGCTGGGAGGCCATGTGCCACCATTATTAGGCTGGGTCACCTGGTGCTACCTTGGCTTACAGGATAGAGGTAGGGGATCTGTGGCAGAAGTCATCCCATGAAAGAGTTCTGTGACTTCAGGAAGTTTGAAAAACACTGGTGTAATACAAGTACAGAGAAGAACAACCAAAATGATCAGGGTCCTGAAGAAATTTGTTGTACAAGGAGAGACTAAAAAGGCTAGGATTCCTCAGTTTGGAAAGGAGAAGGCTGAAGAGGTATACAACAGAGGTCTATTAAATCATTAAGAGTGTGGACCAAGTGAACAGGGAACTGTTGTTCACCAAGTCCCAGAATACTAGAACTAGAGGACACCCACTAGTAGGTGAGTTTTAAAACTAATAAGAGAAAGTACTTTTTTAAACAACACTTTGTTAATTTGGGGAATTTACTGCTACAGGAGGTGACAGAAGCAGACTGCAAACCAAGTTCAAAATTCATGGATAAATCATGGATGATAGATCTATAAAAGAATAGTTGGAGAGGTTTCCTCCGGCATCTCTAAATCAATACGTGGTAGATGCCAGCGAGCGTACTGAATAGGGGAGAGATCACTCTAGAGATATCTGGTTGCTAGCCTCCCTGTATAGCATCCACTTCTGCCACTGTCAGAGACAGGATACTGGGCTAGATGAACCATTGGTTTGACCAGTATGGCACTTGTGTTCTTAAAAAAAACAAACAATCAGAGGAAGTCATTGTTTTGCCTCAAATGGGTTGTAATCTTCATGCAAGTGTCATCTGAAGTATGGGGAGTTTGTTCCAACTTTTTTTTTAATAAGTTACCCCTAATTAAGTTCCTTATTCCTCTATTAATTTTAATTATACATATATAAGAACAGAGGCTATATTTTAAGCAACCAGAATAACTACATATTTTTCTATCAATTACTGTTCAAAAGGACTGAGAAATAATTTTTGCTTAAAGATTAAAGTATTCTTCATGCCATAGGGCAACCAATCATCTTACATAAAACCCCACCACGTTAGTTTTGCCACAGTTGCCTCCTACACCAACACACCTCCCAGCAAGCTTCAGAGTTCCCAAAGAAAGCTCAGAAATGTATAACACACCTTCCTACCACTACTGGCAGCATGCCAACAACTAGAATGAATTTGCTCCTCCCAGGCATTCTGATTCAACACTACAGAGCACCATGGGGATGCTGTTTGGAAGCTGGACTACTGGGACAAACACTGGGGGCAGGCATGTGTAGGTGGAAGTGTCTTAAGATAAATAGAAAAAATAGTTCTCGCCCAATGTCTTATTTCTGATTTTTTTTTTTTTAAATCAGTCAGACTGAATTTTGCCTTCCAGAAGCCTAAAGTCTTATGAATTTCTAAACAAGCAGGTTTGAGACTTCTTGTTCTTTCCTTGCTTCCATTCAGCTTTTCTAGCTCTACAGCTACTATCGTGTAAGTTGTCAAGGATATCCATATAAATTGAGCTAACAGTTTTAAAAAATTGGAAGTAAATGATATAACTAAGTCCTTTACCTACTAATATATTAAGTATTAGGCAGAACATATGCGTGCCTGCATGGTAAAAGAGGCCAAAGGTCTTAAAAGAGCTATGATAAAAAAAAATTGTTTTATTTCATTTTTATTTGTAGCGTGTTGAAGTCAGATGACTTGAACATTGTGTATAATTTTGTACCTATTTAAAATAGCCACGTTAGAATTGTTTTTTTACTACTACCTAATTCACATTGGGCATGTGGATCCCAGTTAAGCAGAAATGTTGGTAATCCAAATTACTAGTTAGGGAACTACTGCTGTGAAGCCTGATTAAACTAAAAAATGTCCCCTGGGAAACATGTCACTAAAATCACGAAAAAATAGGAACAAAATCAAGTTTTTACCACAAGATAACATACTGGCTTTGAGTCCAATCTCTCTTTATTCCCTGTCCATGGCAACGAAAATCCATTAATACAAAGGTTTTCAACCTTTCTGAACAAGTGTACCCTTCCCGTCTCAATTTCAGCTTATGTACCCCTTTATATTAAAATGGGGGGGAGGGGGGGCTGAGCACACAGATGCTTCTCACCACTGGGCAGGCAGGGGGCGCACTGTAGCCCAATCGCGGTAGGCACATGGTGTTGCACCGCTCCCGGGGCAACTGCAGCAGTGTGTAAAGCCCAGTGCACAGCAGCAGCCACCTCCACCCAACACACAGATTGGGGGGAGGGGGGAAGGGGCACATACCCCTCAGACCTCTGCCAGGGCGTGCGCAGTGGCTGGAGCTCCCCGCGTATCCCCCACAATCTTTTTAAAGTACCCCTAGGGGTACAAGTACCCTCGGTGACAACCACCACATTAATATTTTTGGTAGCTCTGGAAAGCTATGCTGCCTATCAGTACATATGTAAATTGTCACTGAAATTTGGAAAATATCTACTGCTGCTAAAAGGTGAGCCAAACCATCCTGGTACACAATCAGAAATTACCTTTTTTCCTTAAAACAAATAAGCCTATTTAATTTTTTCTAAACATTAAATAGAATAATTCTTTGTAACTAAATGGACTATTGAAATGTTGTGAATTGAAGTTTTAAAAGTTGAAATCCAACTCCTTATTCATAACTATGGAAGTTCAGCTGATCATAGAAAATGAGGGCCGGAAGGGACCTTACCAGGAGGTTGAACTAGATGACCTCCTAGAAGCAGGACCAGCCTCAACTATATCATTCCAGCCAAGACTTTACCCAGGTCTTAAAAATCTCCAAAGTTGGATAGTTCACAGCCTCCGACTAGCCTGTTCCGGTGCTTTACTACACTCATGAGAACGTTTTTCCTAATATCCAACTTAAACTTCCTTTCCAGCAACTTGAGCTCCATCCTCTTTGGAATTAGCCTCCAGGTAGTTATAGGCTGCTATTAAACCCCACCTCAGTCTTTTCTTCAGACTAAATACATTCAGTTCCCTCAGCCTCTCTTCAGAAGTCATGTGCCCCAGCCCCAAAATCATTTTCACTGGCCTCCACTAGATTCTCTCCAATTTGTCCACATCTTTTCTGTAGTGGAGGATCCAGAACTGGACAAAATACTCCAGATGTGGCCTCACCAGTGCCAAATAGAGGGGAAGAATCACTTCCCTCCATCTGCTGGCAATGTTCCTACTGATGCAACCCAGTATGCTGTTAGCTTTCTTCACAACAAGGGCACACTGTTGGCTCATATGAAGCTTATTGTCCATTGCAACCCCCAGGTCCTTTCCTGCAGAGCTGCTGCTTAGCCATTTAACTTGTACCGGTACTTGGTACTGTTCTGTCCTAAGTGGAGGATGTATGTTGCACTTGTCCTTATTGAACTTCATAAGATTCATTTTGGTACAATCCACTAATTTGTCACGGTCTCTCTGAATCTTAGTCCTACCCTCCAGCGTACATAATAATCCCCCAAGCTTGAAGTAATCTGCAAGCTTGGTGAGGATGCACTCCATCCCATCTTCAAGGTCACCGATGAAGATATTGAACAAAACTGGCCCCAGGACCAACCCCTGGGGCACTCTACTTGATACCCGCTGCCAACTAGACATGGAGCCATTGATTACTACCCTCTGAAGCTGGTGATCCAGCCATTTTTCTATCCAGCTGATGCCTCCATGACTTCAATCATATATACCATCATACAAATAAAACCCACCAATTCTAGATCAGAAGTAATTCTTTCCCACAAGAATGGGATCACAAAAAGTTATGACTGCTATTTTTGAGGCTTCAATAGCTTTCCCCTGGGTTTGTAGTCATACAAAATTAAAATTTCTCAAATAAGAAATATTTACAATCCATGCTTCCATACATTACCTTAGATTGCTTTCATCCATGCAAAGTATATAATCGAATGTTAGGAAATCATCTTTAGTAACCTAGAATTAAACAAAGATTCTTTAATCCAGCAAAAGGGTATTGCTTACAATGCATAAATAAAATTAAAATTGTGAAAATGTGACTTCTGCAATTCTTACTCATTATTCATAAAACAGGGATATGTATGAAAAATGGACTTGTCAGGAAACCTGTTAGCAAATTCTGAGCAAAAACTATCCTTCTGATCAGTGATAAATGCCATAATAATAAATTAAGTGCAAGTGAGATTGAAGTATAATGCTGTACAAATACAACAGCATTTTAAAATGTCTTAAACTAATTTCTTGATATATACGTGAACATGCTGTCTGAGGTACTTTTTTGCAGTTATAAAAATTCCACCACACTCCCAAAATTGAAAAAAGGCTAGAGGTTTTATTTTTTTTAAATCTCTTCTGAAAGACTGTCACTACTATAAAAGGAACCAAATCAAAACAGGCATGACATAAAATGTCAATTTCTTAGTTTTGCTTTACTAAAGCTTTGCTTAAGAGTGAGAAGAGACAAATCTTGTTAAGAAAAAATAACTTCCATGCTTCTATGGTTTTAAGCTAAAATTCAATTACACAGTTACTGAATCAAACTGAAGTCATCTTACAAATATTTTTTCTTGGAGAACGTTGAATAAAATTGTCCAATACAACTGTACATAAAAAAAAAAACCATGTAGTTGTAGACTTGAAGTTTGGAAGCCAGGGGGCGGGAGGAGGAAGGAGGTGGTCAGATATTAGAGTCTCCTTAAAATTTTGCACTTGCTTAATGGGCCTGGAAGTATAAATTAATAATGTACAAGCCAGAGATGAAAACACAGCGAAAAGGCTATCAATCTACTGTAAAAAGGTGTAGCTCACTTTTCTTTCTATAGTTTACTCTACTGCCTCCTGGGCATTAAAACCATACAGAATAAGCAAACCATGTTTACAGGTACGTGGAGAAGGTGTTTGAGATAATTTAAATGATAAATGGGAGAATCTCTACACTCACCTACATTAAGTAATTATACTGGTACAACCAAGTTGATTTAGTTTGACTGGTACAAACTCATGTGTTGTGCTAGCATGAATTAAATTTAATGAAGTTATAGAAAAAAATTTAAATAAGGATTGAGATCAGTTTTACTGATATACAGATAGAATTCTGTATGGATACTCTTGTCTCAATAAAGCAATGTCTATTTCTATTTAATATCCATCTCTCCAAGTTAAACAAAAATGTCATGCTTATAACAAAATACGAATGTCTAGATGAGTTCTATCTGCATATCTACATACATTGACATCTTTGCTAAACCCCAAAAAGTTCCAAACAGGCAAGGCTTTATATACACTGCATGGTCTGCTGATTAAGGGCTTTGACACATTTACATGATGTAAACAGGAGAAGATAATGATAAACAGCTGTATACTTGTGTAACTTATTTGAAACAAAAAATTGGAATCAAGAAAAATTGGCATCAGTTTAAACTTCATGTGTCTGGAGCTATCCCAAAGTATCTGTTAACTATAGACAAACTAATCCCCGCTCCTACTTAGTCGTGAGATGCTATAAATAAAGCCTATTGGAAGCCACTACCCTGAAATTGCTGGTTATCTGTCCACTTCATATCCCAATGTAATTCACATTGGCATACAATACTGATGTAAATTAAACTGGTGTGGATATGTATTGTGTCCAGACCCTAGATTAGGTGTTTGCATCACAGTAACTACAAACACAGATTCACAATTAGCTAACATATATATTGCACCAGTGTCTCAAATGCAACATCGTAACCAACATTCTTAGGAGGCTTGTACAGTACATTGGGGAAGGAGTGACACAGAGAGCTGATGGCACAGGAAAGGAAGAGTGTAGGAAAACTTCCCCCAAAAATAAGGCTGATGTTTAAACTTGTAAGAATGCTTTTCCAAAAACAAACCCTCTCATTTTTAATAGAAGAAGGTACTTAACCCCGCCCCCCCCCCAAAAAAGCAGTGCTTAGATGAGCTATGTATTTTGATTAGATATCCCCATATACTGAAGACAATAGGGGCATCTCTTGACTAAAACCAAACAGGAAATATTTCACTTGTACATAGAATTTTCTCCCCAGAAGGTTGAGAGCAGTAAGAAAAGAGGGTTAAAATGGAAGTCCGTGTAATAGTATCTCAAGCTTTTGCTAGTATAGAAAAGCAAAGCAGATACCTGTTTATTTTTGCTGTAAAAATATTTGCTGTATTCATGCTGTGCTTTTGACCTATAAATATTTTTACAGTGAAAGCAGTTCTGCTTTTCTCCCAGCTCCCACAGAACTGCTACAAGCTTACCCTAGTGGCTCTCTGCTGCTAAATCCCTGTCTATGAAAATAACCTTACACAAATCTCTCTCTCTACTTAAGACAAAAAAGTAAAATTGATGGATAAACAAAAATATACTATATACTAAAACTATTTAAAAAAATTACTACTATATTAGAGTAGCATTCTCAGGGATGCCAGTGCAGCCCTAAAAACAGGATTTCTGATTAGTTCTCTTACATTGCCTTACGCCATTTAGAATGATCCAACACAAAACAGCGTTGAAACAACTCCAATTACTATATTAATAAGTAAATGAGAAATGGAAAAACTGGAAATGGAAATCCTGAATTTTTATCCTGCAGATTATAAACGAGTCACATTTTGGATTACAGAATTGAACATCATCCCTTAAAACAAAGCATGACATTAAGAAAATAGTTTGCAAAAGGATGAGCTTTGGGGAAAATACGGTAAGCAAACTAGCCAATTTTGGATGTATATGGTTAGGTAAAGAACTTGTACAGGCTTTTTTGGCAAATTAATGTGTCAAGGAAGTCTACAGACAGAATGCATTATGGCCCAAAATATGACAACAGTCATGTGTGTGCATAAGTGTTTAATGAACCAGAGATTTTTCAAAACATACATCCTATAAAAAGAACCTGAAAGCAGTTGTGGGTGGTAGTTCTACAAGTGAATGAATTTAAAAATAACGAGAAGTGCACCGACATGATATGGACAGATGCATCAGCACCAATATAAGGAAAATTTACATTACTGGTAATCAGCTTTTTTTGGCTGAAGGGGCTGATAATGTTGCCAATAAATGCCGTGTGCATGAGTGCAGCCACAGCATGCACACAGCCAGCGCAGCAGCTTAGAGAGCAGTGTCCGGCTGGTAAGTCTATTGGGAAGGGAAGGGGCAGCGGGAGGGAATGGGTGTGGGCACAGATCAAGGCCCCTGCAGTGAGGGAGGGAGTGGGGCTGGTTCAGGGGCTGCCTAACTGGGGCAGGGTGCGGGACAAAGCTGTAAGCAGTTCATCCGCGGGGGGGGGGGCAGGCGGCACCCCCCGCTCCGCGCA